CACTTTAGAGACTTCTCTTCTCACAGAACAATGCACACAGCAACTGAGCACAATTTCTCATGCTCTGAGTCAGATACTGCGATGTCCTCTTATCTTAGACTCCCTGACTTAAGAGTTTGTTCACAAGGGCTGAACTAGACCTCTGTGGAAAAATCCAGCTGATGATGGTCCTCAGGTTTCATTCCTTGTGGCTTGAGGAGCAGGTAGGACCCGCTCTTGAGTTTCAAATACTTGCATGATTTTTTACCTGCTGTGGATTGAGTGTCCCCTCAAAACTCATTGAAACAGCCCCCACTGTGACAGTGTTAAGAGGGTGGGAAATCCTTTCATGGGAATTGAAATGTGGGGCTTTTAAGAGGTGATTAGTTTATGAAGACCATGTCCTAGTGAATGAATTGATCCATTCATTGAGTAATGGACATGGTTCTGATGGCTTTATAAGGAGAGCGAGTGAGCAGGTTAGCTCCCTCTTGCTCAGCCTTTCTCACCATGTGACACCTGCATCACTGAATAGAGTCATCACCAACCAGGCCCTCACCAGGTGCACCCCCTGGACTGTGGATTTCCCAGCCTACCCACTGTAAGCAATAAATGTTGTTTGTTAACAAAGTATCCAGTTTCAGGGATTCTGTAATAAGCATCAGAAATGGTCTAATACATTACCTACTTCTTACTTTTGACATTTGTATATTGGAGATATTTTGTTGCTCTAGTTTTAAGGATAATTTAGAAATCACAGTTTAACATGTGTCTAGTAATAACTTGCCCTAGCGTTTTATCATTATAACTCGGAGTAACAGAATGTCTTTTTGAATAACAACTAGGAAAAGCTAAGAAAAGCCTTTAGTTGGAAACCCTTCAAAAGTATCTAATTTGGCTTTCTGCAAAATGAAGCAATGTAATCCTTTTGGCATTACATGAACAGCTGTTTGAGTCTTTTATCAGATTGACTTTCTGCTCATGCCAAGGGTAGTAATTCTATTTGTGTAAAAGTGACTTTGAAGATTAATAAGTAACAGAATGGGTACACATGGATTTGAACACTTAAAGCAATTTTTAAAGTGTTTTTGCATGTGTACACACTGAAAAAAATAGGAGATACTTGTATCTAGGTTCCCTTAGGAGGAAGACACAGACTCTTGTGTCTGTGATTCAGACTTAAGTACCTTTTTGGTGATCCACAATGACCTCTCTTTGACAGGAGGTGAGTTGTAGGTCTCCCTAGGAACTACAGCAAGCTTCTAGTGCTTTATTTCAGGAAAAGGCCTTTGCCTATGAAGCTCATAAGCTTCAGTNCAAATGTCTGATATCACATGTTTTCATAAGTTATGGTCTAAAATTAACTGTAATTATAACCCAATCAGAAAAAAATTCTAATATTTGGAGACTTCTTGTCAGAGGAAATTTTTAAAAATTAAATGTCAATTTATATACATACCATTGCTCACAGAAGTATGGTGAAGTAATCAATAAAACATTTCTGCATAAAATATGTTACATTCGGATAAGAGCACGTCAAAACGAAAATAAGAGTTCACAGGGAGAATATATTGATGTCCAATTCTAGCCTTCTAAAGAACTCGTTTTTCCTGGATGCTGGTAGGTATCCAATCACTATGGTGTTTACACTCTATTAGATACACTTAAAAGAGTAACATAACAATGNCTTTTCTCACTTTGCAAAATGAATCATGCCTCTCTTCCATCTTACCATGATGTTTCACTTGAGGTTTTAAAACCTGTAGGGCACCGAACAATGGGGCCATTTGAAATACTGTTCTGGTTTTAAGAAAGCAATTAAGAAAGGAAGTAAATGACTAATGACTTAAACAACCTTTTGTAAGTCGGTGGTTTCCATTTCTTTCCTTAAGCCAAGATTACAGGAGGACTTAAATGACATTTTGGTTAATAGAAAAATAAAAATAATTTAATGATAGATGGCTGTGTGAATCTTGGCATACAGCTGAGAAAGAAGTCAAAGAATTGAGTAACGTTACTGTCACAAATCTCTCTTCATTCTCATTAATATATTTATACAAACAAGGTTTCTTGACCCATAAATTTATAAATATTAAAAACAGGAATAGAATTGGTGTCGAGCCCTAACTCATTCTAGTAATAAGTAATATTCATCCAGAGATAACATAACCTAACTGGGAAAAGCAGCCTCTCAAAACATTCTTCTAAAAGTGGAAAGGTACATTTCCAACAGAATGTTATTCCTGTGTAATAAATATTTTCCAAATGTCTGATATCACATGTTTTCATAAGTTATGGTCTAAAATTAACTGTAATTATAACCCAATCAGAAAAAAATTCTAATATTTGGAGACTTCTTGTCAGAGGAAATTTTTAAAAATTAAATGTCAATTTATATACATACCATTGCTCACAGAAGTATGGTGAAGTAATCAATAAAACATTTCTGCATAAAATATGTTACATTCGGATAAGAGCACGTCAANACTATGGTGTTTACACTCTATTAGATACACTTAAAAGAGTAACATAACAATGTTATTTTTAAATGTCAGTATTTATAGTATGCTGAAGATGACATCCTTTGCAGTTATTTAAACTGACAAAGAAATATTTATATATTAATGTAAAAATATACATGTGATATGTTTTCAAACTTTATTTAAGGAGTATATGAACAAAAGTGTTCAAAGATCATTGATCTATACCAGAGATAAGGTGTTTTGAGGATAAACACTTCCACGTGTCTCCACGTGTGTTTTCTTTGCCTCCCAGTTTGACCTCGTCTGTGGCAATGCGTGGATGCTGGACCTCACCCAAGCTGTGCTAAACCTCGGCTTCCTGGTCGGAGGGTTCACCTTAGGCTATGCAGCGGACAGGTAGGTACAAACGTGACTGCCATTTTACATCACGATAGAACAACGCATACATATGGAGAGGAAAATGTCTTAGGTTAACTATTAGAAAAATGTTTCTGCCAAATTTGAAAAAAATTTTTGATTCCCCCACTCATGACATCACAGTTGTTTGGTTTGATCGATTTTGTCCTTCTCAAACTTCATCTCCTTACACCTTGAAATGCATAGAGGGGTGGGTTTGTTCCTGGTAAGTGTGAAGG